AGACTATCTTGTATTACATTTCCCAGCCACGATAATTGGAAACAGAATATTCCAAGAATACTTCCAACTGTTTCCCGACTCGCTCCCTCGATTTCATCGAGTTTCCCTTACACCGTCGTATCAATCAAGAATCATTATGCGCGTCCCTCCCCCTGCTCCCATACGGGTATGATTACCGTTGTTATTACTATCATGGCTGGAAGTCGGCACAGCTAGAAGGCGGAGAGAAAATTGTTGTCTAATTTACGCCTTCCGCGCGGCCTTTGTTGTTCAGCGGATGAATTCGACCGCTAATAAAAAGCGTCCCTTCGCGCATCGATGATTCCGCCCTTTGTTCTTCGCTCGAACCCTGAACTCGTTCGCTCCTGTCTCGTTCTCGGAATCGTCATCGACGCGACGCAACGTACAGGAAGCCGATGGGGGGAAAATCGCTTACGGCGAAAAGCCAACGGTGGGAAAATACCGGCGGCGAGGAGGGGGGAACGGGAGGGCCGAGGAAAGGCACGGAATAATCGTCGATCCCTGAAACTGCGGATGCGAGCGATTTGTGCGCGAAACGCGATCACTCCGGTTCGAGGGATCCGATGATCGAAAACGAAACACGATCGAGAGAATTGAAAAGACGGAATCGCGAAGAAAGAGAATCCGGCGAAGTAATAACGATGCTAACCGTACCGAAGTTATCGGTCGGCGATCCTATTAAACGGTCAAAGATAGAGCTCTCGATCGAAGAACATTGGTTGCAGCGTGATTGCTATCGCGAATACGCGCGTGAGCGAACGGATTAGCAGCTAGTAATTACAATCAATAATACGACAAACTAAAAAGCGTTTATACGCTCGTAGGCAGAAGGAGAGATGGCGATAACGCGAGAGTAAAAAAGGGAAAGGAGCCGAGAGGCCGGTGAAACGGAGTCGGAAATAAAAATTAATCGAGAGTAAAATTGCGAGGTAACGCGGGCGGGTAAGGCGGAACGGTGAAATAAATGAAATAACGATAAGATCGGCTGAAAATGGAAGAAACGAACGAGTAATACGGTGGAACGGGTAATAGCCGTTATTAAAACCTGACCCAAATGGACGATCAAAAGTCGACGGAGGACTTTTATTAGATTCTTACGTGCAGGATGATTAACTGTTCTCATTGACGCAGTCTGGCCGCACGCTTTCGCGAATGAAAGTTAATCGGACGGACGGTGCTCGCGCATATCGCTCGATACGCGCGATCGCGTGAAATGCGAGTCGAACGGAGATAACGCGGAAGCACGGCGAAACGTATCCACTATCCCGCGATCGAGCCAATAAACTCTCACTTGGTGGTTTCTTCCTTCGATCCGACCTTTTTTGCGTGACCGGGAATTCCAATTATCTACAAGAACCGGAATTCTTATAAACATCCGCGGCGCAATTATCAGTAATCGGACGTTCATCGCGTTCGAAGAACCACCGATTAGCGAGTGAACGTTACGAACGTAACCCGTGTTTCCCAGGTAAAAGAGCACAAAGAACCTCTTACAAACTCGCCGTAATAAAACTGCTTTACGATTTCCTACGTGCATCGCTAAACCAAGGAAAAAAAAGGAATCGGCTCATTCGTGCGACAGACTAATATTTCATCCGCGCGGGGAATATACGATCGAACGGTGACAGCGAATACGACGATAAGGATCGACAGGTGTAAATAATGTATTGATATAAAAATCAATGTGCTCGTTTTTCACCAAAGTACGGAATACTTAATTGAAGCGCGTCGCCTGTGTAAACCAAAAACCGCGCGAGGGCAGCTGTAAGCTATTTTAAAACCGGACCCGACGTATAAAACTCCAACAGTGTGTTCGGGGAAGCGTTCAATCATCTCCAAACATTGATGATATTTTTCAGCCATTTTTATCGTCCCCCTCAGTCACGATATTAACGACCCGCCGATATTTTACACCGCTACTTAATAATCTCAATCTTCTTATACACATGAATATTACTTTGTTTCGTATCTTCATCAAAAGACATCAGTGTACATCACTCCCTCGACATCTTCCTTAACCACTACAATTAACTACTCTCAATTTCACCAAAATCAGATACCCACACCTATCAACAGGTAGATCGAAAAGTGCTTCGCATCTGCCCAGAAACTTCCTTAAAACCAGCAAAGCATTTTCCATTTCAAACAAAATCCAAACCGAAAGTACTCGAAACATAAACTCTCCTACACTATCGTCACCCGCAAAGCGCCATTTCCCATAACAACGTCTCATCCCATCGCGAGCTCGTTCAGATCCGGATCTCAAACTTCCAGCCGCGATGTTGCTACTAATTCGATTCGAACGGGGTGACGCATCGCGGCGGGACCGGGCCGAGCCGGGTCCAGCCGCATAATTTCGTGCGTGTTCATCGGGCGGCCGCTCCTCCCGCGAGCCACCAAGATGGACACGCTCGATAGAGACGTAACAGGTGTGGACGGGCCGAGAAAAGAGAGTCCGCCTCGCCAGCGCGCGTGGGGCACACACGTTCGTTGCCCTCGGAGACTTTTCGAGAACCTCGCCGCCTCGAATGCTTCGGACAAATACGCACTGTTTGACACCTGGTCCCGGACAATATGGCGTACCGTCGTCGGCGGCTAGCGGGGACGAAGAAAAGAGGGCCCGAGAAGGTGGCCACTTTGTCCCACGGAATAATGAAGTTCCCGGTACGGGAAAGGGACTCCGAGCAAATCGGCAATGGGCCAGTTGCAGGCAGAGGGGCGGGGGCCGGAGGGACCCTTCAGAAATGCTTCTCGGAAGCGTTTCTTTGTTAAGGCTGCGCCTTGCGGTTGCCGAGGGACACTGTTCCCCTCTTCCTCGGGGGCACGAGGCGTCCCTCGAGCCGCGACCCCCTATAGCGATTTCCATCTGCTGGTATATGGGCTTGGGTGCATCGGGGGCCGCGCGAACCGGCGCGGCGAGCAGCTCTAGCCTCGACGCGCGCGCTCTTCTAGATTTATCGTGGAATAAACAAGCGTTTCGTGGAAACGTTATTACCGCGTGACGTGACTCGCTCGCTCGTTCGCTAGGCAAGCGGCTCGGTTGGCCGTGGCTCGCTCGCTCGCTCGTTCGCTGGCTGGCTCGGCTCGGTTCGCCAGCCGTGCGGTCGCCTCGCCGCGCGTCGTTTTTACGAATACCGTGTCCCGTGATCGGCTTCGTTCGACACGCTCCGACGGCGACCACGGTTTTTCCTGGAACCCGGTGCGCGACTGGCCCCGTGAAAAGCGATTGGTCAAGAAGAATTTTCAGGACGCGATCCGAGATGATTTTCCCGGCACGGAAATCGGGATTACGAAGGTGTCTTTGTGCTAGATGTGGCTTAGAAGCTTAGGTGTCTTCTTCTTAGGTATAGTATTACCGATCGGTAGTATTACGGTTGGTAAATCGAGAGTTTCGTTGTAACTTTAACTCGGTGCTTTCAGCATGGATGATCGGAATATAGTAAACGCGGTGCGAACATCTGTTTGACCTTAAATTTTCAACCTTCCCGAGATCGTTCATCATCCGTAAATCCATCCTGCACCGGTTTATTTATAAAATGGCCTGCATTTCGCGGCCAGCACCGTTTGCAATGCGACTGCTGAAAAATTCAGCGTTCCTTTTCACACGGAACGGGAACAACGCCGCGTTTCGCCGGAAATCGTGCACTCCGGAGCAAGAGCGTGCCGTATGCCGGACTAATAACCGGTTTAACGTATTCGTACGGCGACACGGGCAACAGCGAAGAAAAAGCATCAAGGGGCGGGGAAAAAACGAAGGAGGAAACAAGAACGGAAGGGAAAAAGAAAAATCCGCCCGTTCCATAAATGGATTAGTTCCAGGGTGGTGAGAAGCGGCGACGTTTCCGAGTATTCGCGAAACTCGGGCGAAAAAAGGTCGGCGAGAAATCGCGCCGCACGAATGTCGGCCGCACGCCATTCAAATCCCAGCCCTTGAAAGCCCCGTGACTGGCTCGCCCGCCTTCTCTTTGCTATGGAAATAAAAGCATGGGAAATTCCGTGACCCCTCTCGGCGTCTTTGGAACAGTACCGTTCCGAAGCGGAAACGTTCCGAGCGTCCGAGCCGCGTTATTAATCGACCTCTCGACGGTTCAACCTTCGGCCGACTCCTCAACGACCGTGTTTTCGTGGACGAACACCAGAAAAACCGTTTTTATTTATCGCGAGGAAAAAAATACCGCGCGAACGACCCGCGTACGCGACAACAGGCACGCAAAGGCGTCCGTTGGACGCTTTTGAGACGCGTCCACGATGTTTAGTGAACAATGTATTTGACAATTAGTGGTAATCGAAAATGTGGGACAGGGTTCCATTCGAATAATTGAATTCAAATGATTTCTTTGTTTCAAAAGATCAGTTTAAAAATTTCTAGATGAATACACGTATAGGATTGGAAGTTATTTGGTCTTTCTTTTTGAACACCGTATGTGGGCGGTGGGAAATGCGAAAAAAATGCAAATTCGTTGGCAAGGAAATGATGAAAAATGGCGAACAGCCGCGTGGACATCGTACAACAGTTTCTCTATAATGTCGGCGTGGCGCGATTTCCGGAATGCTTGGTGAAAAATATGGCCCTGGTTTCGATAGCATCGCATCAACGCGTTCACCGGCCGCGAGCCCAGCGTTAACCCAATTTTATTTCGTTCTTTTATATTTCATGTCCCGTGCTATCCGCGTATCTCTGCGAACGATAATTTATTCGAAAACACGCGAAAGAACCATGACTTTTTGAGAACGGTAATGAACGGTCTCCTTTTAAGGATTACACAATGCCATTCCACCGGTTTCAAAATGGCTTCCAGGTTAATTACACTTGTTATCCTCAATTACGTGTGACTTACCACTAACTTTTCGTTTAAAATCATTTTGACCCAGATACGTACTGAGTCACGGGACAGCGAACGACTTTAATCCGGGCCACGCAGCGTGCAGGTACGAAGGCGGGATGAAGAGAATAAAAAAGAAAAAGTGCTTTCACTCACCATTCGATGCTCCTGTAGCCGCGTAGACAGCAATGGAGAGCCTTGAACGCGCCGATGTTCGCGTACTCCGTGGTCACGACTTCCTTGGTGAACCTCAGGCCGCCCGGCAGATTGTCGAACTTGTGCATCGAACAGTAGTCCTTCAGTTCGTTCGCGTGGCAGACCGCCGCCAAGAACGACAACACGATCAGGCCACGCTGGACCGGTCCTGTCATCTTCGCTGATCTCACTTGTTTCAACGGATTCGAAAGAAACGCCGTTTCAAAGACGCGCGGGCTTTTCGAATACGTGAACCGCCATGGCCGAGAGGGGCTAGTTCCCCGATCGAAAAATCTCGTTTACCACGTTGGTCCCCTGACGGCGTGCACAGAAAATCGATCTTATTGGACGTCGACGTCCGCGAATAGACAACGCTGTAACACGCGTCCCGTCTGTTCCGTTTGTTGTCAAACAGAAGGCTGTACACTCTGTGTTTACCCGTTGATTGTCGAACGGTTCTCTATTTTCACGCGGCGACGCGACAGGAATCGTTTAACCGTCCACACCGGGTTCTACTCAAGATTATCCTTTTTCGCTAGACTCGATCGTCGAACGGTGAAAATGAATCCTTCCGACCGCGCGTTTGTCACGCGGCTAACCTCAATTTTTCGGTCACGTCACTCGAATCCGAACATTCGTGAAGCCACGCACGCATCACTTGTCACGATATCGCACTCAGGAATGATGGTGGAATATTGTTGGTTCCGGAAGTGTACAGCGAGGAACACGCGAAACCTTACTTTCACCGAAGCGTCGTTCCTCGAGCTACACGAAAGACACACACGCTTTGGAGGCCGGCGGCTTACTGTCAGGCAACCGCTTGGAAAACTCCCCGTAGGCCACGGGTTTAAAACGAGCCGCCTGTTGCCTCGTGCACGCTCGGCCGTCTTCGGCCGTCCTCGGCGTTCCTCCACGGGACACCGACGCCGCCGGTATGGTCGCGCGTTAATACACTCGCAGCTTGTGTATACTCGTCGAAAGGGCACTGTTTCCCTCCACGCTCTTTTTTCTTCGTTCCCTACCCGTTTCTGTCGGAAGTTTTCATGGATTCGCGAGACGATGTGCGAAGCAGATGTTACGAAAACGACTGGACCGTTTTATTCGTTAAAGCATGGACGAAAAGCCTCGGGAGAGGGTTTTTTTTCGGCCGCCGCGAGCAAGACGGATATACGGGTGTACGGTGAGCCGGGTTTTTCATTACTTCGTATGGTGTGTGACTGGAATATTGTACCAATCGTTAGACGTATCTGCAAATAATCTATCGCTTGTAAACTCCCGTGCGGAAGATTGCGATATGTTGATACAAGTGCCGGTAGCACTGGCAGTTTTTCAATAAAAATAGTCCAGGTAGGACAAAGTGTAAGATGCATACTTGAGTTTCCAATATGTCGGACTGCACGTGCGTAGACATGTGCGTTAGTGGACTTATTGAACTATTTCAATTCTTTGCAAATAAAATGAATATTCATGCTCTACTCTGAAACGCTTTTTATGAGACATTCGATGTTTAACGTACTGCAATATTCTAGTGACTCATGCAACAAGTTAAAACTCGTCAACAACGTTGTTTTTTACGCGTCCCGTGGCGGTTATGTTTTGCTCTCAAAATATAAATTGGCGGGAAAGCGGGACATATTGATTCGTTCTCGTTAACCGTGGTTCTTGAAATATTCATCACCTATAGAATTTTCAGAGATAAAATAATAACTTTTCGAATTTCCAAATGATCGATTTCTCGAACATTCAGATTCTTAAACGTAGAAATTTTGAAACGAACGCACAGCTCGTACGGTTACCAAAAATGGCGATTCCTAATTAAGCGATTAGAAAATTCGTAGAACAACAAACAGCCACTTTATAGAAGCAGAGAAGCTATTCATGAACATGGACTTTCTAAACAATGAAGCAAAATTTTCACGAGGCTCGACTATCTTTCTTAATAAATGGTAACTCTATATTCGCGTAACTGACCGGTACAGCCGCCATTAATCGTACTGTACAGTATAAACATTCGAGTAAAAAGGACGAAACGCGCGGTCGTTTCCCGGTACTCGGACAAGGCGGCACGGTTTTTGCGCTCGGCCTCGTTGTTCCATTTTTTTTTTCTTCGTTTCGTTCCCCCTCGCGTCGCGAGCAAAATTTTTGACGAGGAAGTAACGCCGCGCGAATCTCCAGTTAGGTCCGCTAAAGCGAGGCGGTGTCCCGTTGTTTGCTTTCCTTCTACTCGACGCCCGAACGCAAATAATTGAAACAACGAGGCGAGCGTGTACACGAGCGAAAACAAATAACAGTGCGCCGGGGTACGTCCGTGTTTTTCGACGCGACCTAACGACGCGTGGCCAACTTGCCCCGCTCAGGCGACGCGACGATACGAACCCCGGGGTTTCGTACGAATTGCGATTATTGTCGTGTACGTTTCCGCGAACGCGATAAAATTTCAAATTTATGTATTTAATGACACCGCAGCCGGATAACTTTCGCGGATAAGATTCCGTTCAAGGCTGGCCGCATCGGCATTTTTACGTATTGTCTTCGGGGAATTCGATCGGGCGCCCGACGCCATCTTGGAACATCGGAATCGCGTCTTTCCGTAGAACGTCTTTCCGCGAAACGGGGATGGACGAACTCCTAACTAGATAAACGTTTTCGAGCTACGCGAAAGTTGTAAACGGTTTCTGTTTCTTCTTTGTTCGTTCCCCGGCGAAGAATTCTAGTTACAAAGTAACATTTCAAAAATGAAACGTTCATACGGCATAAGCGTTTCGCTTCAACTTTCGCATAGTTTACGAAGAACACAGAGTTCCTTTTTCAACGGTGATGCCTCCAACGATAAAATAAACTACAAGCTAAACCTTTAATACTTTTCACGAATTATCCCTCGAAAACCTGAACACTCGCAGAAACTCCTTAGTCACATAAATAACAATCCCAATCCTCTTAACATAAATGCGTACTCTGTGGCCGCCCACAGTTTCAATCGGCGAAGATTATATCCCCGATAAAGGAGATCCCAGGCGTTTATATTCCATCGGAACTCATCATCGAAAGTCGTTATCGGTATCACCAAAATTTCGTCTCGTGACGCGATGGTTTCTATTTCGGACAGTTTAATTCCCACGATCGTGATCCGCCTTTTATTTTTAACTCTGCGCGCGCGCGCTCGCGCATATTTTCCCCGCCGCACTCGGTCTCAGCCTCTCCGTCTCGCCCCGGCGGAATTTCTCGTTATCAAAGCCCGATTTCCTTGGAAGTAGGCGTTGCTCTCATTATCCAGTTTCAAACGTTACTCGGCCACGTTGTTCGCGACGTCCGTGATTTGGCAACGACCGGCGAACGCGCTCGCGCGCTGGGACACCCACACGTCGTCGTCACCGTCGTTTCTCATCTATTTGCCGGCGACGACGGCGTGTGCGCGCGCGACTCTCGCTGACTCGCATTCTGGGAATCCGAGTATGCGGTCAGTCGTTTCGTGTCGTGTGGCAACGATTATGCCGGATGATCGCTGCCCGACCCGTGTTTACGCGCGTCGACCCACCGCCGGCTCACGAACGGTCGTTTTCTCCTTAGCCGGTCGCGACGCGACGAAGATTATGGCGATGTAATCGGATGAATTTAAGAAACGATTAACAGCTGTTCTTATTAACCCCTCAATGACAATCGTTATGCACGCTGCTTTCGTGTTCGCCGTCGAGCTGCATTAGCTTTCTTGTCTTATCTCTTGCGGTTTGCCGTATTTATGTTTAAGAATCGCCTAATTATCATCCTATTAAACGAGGACACGTATTAGTATCTACAACGATGATAACTGGAAAACTGTTTGAAGGTTGTATTAGACTATTCAGACTAGTTTACTTTAAGTTAACATCGATATTGATATTGAACAGAGCAAAATGATTTGGATCGCTGGGCAGTTGATATTAGCGACCATCGCGTATAATATTCAAATTTAAGTATTGGATGCTAAACAAGTTTCTATAAGACCGCGCAATGGCTACGTAACGATCTCGATCGAGATAAAGGATCGAGAAAAAAGACGGTGTACCAACACCGTTTGCCATTGCGTTTCCGTAACCCGACACCGTTCGATCTTGGCCGCGAGGAGACAGCTTCTGCGCAACTAATATTTTCCGCGCTGGTGATTTGTCGCAGCTCTTCGGCTGGGATTGAATCTGACTCGGTTGATTGATCGTCACCTCCCTTGACACCTCGTTAAGGCGACAGTTTTTCTTCCCGCGTGACTTCGTTGAATTTTCGACGGCCCTCCTCGAAACCTCGGCGTTCCGCCATCGCGACGCTTTACGTGCAGACCTTTTAAAGCGAAAAGATGAGTTTTCTAGCGTGAACTCGATCTCAATATGTGCACACGCCCCTCGATACCGCGTAAACGTATCGACGGCTGGCGGTGCGCGATGATAAATTATTATATTTCAGAGAATTATTGTAACTTTCTTGTTCGAACCGGAGTAATCTTAACGATTGCTTTCGTTTACTCGCTTATTAACCTCTTGGAAGATATCGACGCGCATTGCGTGGTACGATATATAAATAATATTAATAAATATACGGCAATAATAGAAGAGACAGGGAATAGAAACATTGAATCAAATATATAGTATACAAATGAAACGTGCGAATAGAAGGTTTCGTCGAATATTTTCAAATAGTAGTGCACGCGGATGTAATTGCCAACGTATCAATAATTATGTTTACGCTTTTTAATTTCGGTTACTTTCTGTCTACTTGAAACCGTACCGTGTATAATCAAACAAAAGCCAGATCGTTATTGTTCCCGCCGAGAGGAAGGGTAAGAATAGTTCATCGCTGGGGAGGTTAGTCGGCCAGGCGCATCTAAACCGTAATTTCGTCCGATGTTTTATTGAACAAAATTAACGGTCGTGGAAGTGTAATTTTACCGTGCCCGGTTGATAATGTGTTAATCAGCGTTTCGAGTCGCCTGGAAAGATTATCGAGCCGGCCCCGCTCGAACCCGCGCTTCAAAGAACAGTCCGTGTTATCAATTAGAGTTCCGAGATCACGGTGCACGTAACGAAATTAATCTCCCCTTAATTAATGGCGTTAAGGCGCACCGAGCCGTGGGGGCAGTACGAGTTTCCTGATTAAGACGATACGCGTTCTCGGAAGAGACATCGAAACAGCCAGGAAAGGACTGCACACGGCCGACACACTTTATTGAAATCTTGTACAATTAAGACCGCCGCTGCTAGAGCTATAGCTTGACCGTTGCTACGCCGCTGCTGCGTCTCGGACATTAATTATAGACGGCAGCGGGAGCGGAGTCGTTCACGTCGAATCGAAAACAATTTTATCGCATCGTTTAATTTTCAGTCTTCACGAGCGGCGATTGAAATATAAATGCGATCGATCAAGTCTGCAACATTGCTATCAATTCGATGCTATATTATTCTCGATTGCGTGCTCGGTATACTATTAAACGCTTCTATCATCTTTCTATCATTTTTCAATATAGTTTCGAACACCAATTTTATATCTAAGCATCAAACCGTTCGTTCGATATCCACATAAAAGTACCTTATTACCCAATAAATCATTAAATCAAATCGATCCGTTTAACAGTTAAGTGCAATGGTTTCCTTCGAAACAAAAGTTCCCCGTTACGCAACCGACCGCGCTAACTACTTGCCGTTAATTTAAGGCGTTTTCACGAGGAGGAACGTCCCCGCCGCGGCGCCCTCCCGCCGCGAGCGCGTTCGCACGCGCGTCCGTTGCTACGATATCGACGTTTCAACGGAAATGAGAAACGCCTGGACGGTATGCCGGCCGTTTTCATCGGCCGTTTACCAGGAATACGTAATTACACGGCACACACGCCGCTTACACGCGTTCCCGGGGTTGCACGTACCGGGTGTCGTGCGTACGAACGGGCCGCGCCGGGACGGAAAAAAGTCGGCCAGCCGTTACGAGATTAGTCCGTAAACGGTCGGGGCATCGTTTTTACTTTCGCGGGATTCACAGGTGTCCCACGGTGGAAAAGCCGACCCGCTTATTCAACCCGGTGTAATTGTCGGCTGTCCACCGCTTATTTCACGCTCCCGGGGCCGCGACCGGTTTCCTTCGAACCGCGCCATTTTCCTGTCATACAGTGCCTCGCATAAGTGTCCGGACGGTGGATGCGATCTTATTAAAACCTTTACGTCTTTACTATAATTTCATATTATTACATATAATTAACTGAATTCAGGATTGCCACATTTCTTTAGTGGCCCTATCTACCAGCACTCGGATCGCTCCGACTTTGCAGACAAGTTTCGCGACTACAGCAATAGCGGTCGTAATATCTTCATCCTAATTAATACCAACAAGTCTGTACCAGCGTTTTACTTAAAGAGCCGCGTTACTTTCGCGCGTGTCTTGCCGTGCAGTTTACCTACATCCTGTTTGAACCGGCCCCTCCCATTCCCGCGATCGAACTCGATCTGAATCTTCCGGAATTGGCCTGCCCTCCGGGAAAACCGCTTCCACCGAAAATCGAATAGCGCGTCGGGCACTCTTCGGATACTGTTTCCCAGCGACATGTTCCTCTGTTCCTCTGTGCACACGTGAGAACGCGATCCCGTCGCACGTTCGTCGCGATAACGTTACGTTACGATAATCGCGTTGCATCATCGTGTTTCTCGGAAAAATTACGACCGGCTGATAGGGCTGGTTCGTTTGGGAACAAAACCGGCTACATAACGTCGACTGCGGATCCTGGTTGGCTCGGTGTCGATTAAATCGTTTGTAACGGACGATTCGGGAGCGTCGGCGAAACGAATCCTGGCTCCTCTCGAAAATATGTCGCCGGATTCGAATCGCGTACACCAAACAGACACTTGTTGCTCTTGTCAAAGTTCGTGGTCCGTGGACCCGGCGGAATCTCTTCATGAATTCCGCCGGGATTTAATCCCCCGCCCTCGGGAGCTGGACCAGTTCAAAGTCTCTCCAAGTATCCGGCCGTGCTCTCGATCAATCGACGAGGCGCGGAAGAAAAGGAAGCCGACGGGACAGAGGATTTTCTGGTCGAGAGCGGATCGGATAGCAGAACGAGACATGGTTGTATCCTTCGACGGGCGGACTTAATTAAGTTTCCAAGTCCATTAACCGTATCCGGCGCAGGATCCCCGGGCTTGGTTCGCGGTTTTCTTTGACTTCCCGCTCGCGTCTTCTGCCGCCGACAAATATCTTCTGATTACTTTGCTACCCGCTGCCTCGCCACTCGCTTGAACCTTCCTCAACCTCGTCTCCGGCGAAATTTTGTGGTGGTTTTGAATAATGCGTTGAATCTGTAGGGAACGAGAGACGAGGTCTATTGTGGAAATGAAAGGCAAAGGGCATATTTCATGTTGGATAAGTTAAAGGACTACTCGTTGGGAACGCTAAGTCTAATAGACTCCTATCTTTGGACCCTAACTCTTAGATGTTCGATAGTTCGCTTTACCGTAGTTTCTATGAAGTTCCTATTCTGCGATGACCTACGTGGTTATCTTATAACTTCCGTCTACAATGTTAAATCACTGGGTTATTTATGAAGATAACATTTCTATTATCGCACCTTTGTATATTCCAAGTTCGTTTGATGCCTGAATCGCTAGCTAAGGTTGGTAGCACGTGCCAATTCTGTTTTATATTTATGCGGTGTATTGTTTAGAAGAAGTATTAAGGACTTCCGTAGTAATTCCGGTTAGATCGACGATACGCCGACTTGACAAGGATTTATCGCGTTCGAAATCCTTATGCAACGAGTCTTTGCCATCCTGCAACGGTTTCCCATCGATTTTCGGCTAATTACACCGGCGAGACGGGCTGGCTAAAGGCGCGCTCGGATTTAAAGGATTCCCGGGTGAATCAAGCGAAGAAAGTAAACGGGCCGACGTAACGGCGGACAAGAAAATCCGAGAATTTATCGGTTGCCCGACGGAATATCGAATCGCCCGGTTCAATCCCGCCGGAAGTTCGGAACGCCGCCCGCGCTGAAACTTTCAGTTAAAATCCGAGGGAAGTTTGTTGAATTTTGGTTTCTCGCGCGGACGGTTATCCTTAACTCGGGTCTTTTTCCACTGAAATTCATTTCTTTAACTCCGTTAGATTTTATTCATCTTCGTCGCTTCGTCGCGTTGTCATTTTGCCAAAGGTACTTTTCAGTTTGAAGGAAATTTAAGAGTCAAAGGTGGTGCGTTAGTGTTTCTGCTTTTTCCATAACGCTTCAAACGTATAGATAAATTGAAGACCATTACAATTGGAATTTTCGAAAATGCTTTTTCTCCTCGACTTTAGAAGCGTTCGCATTTATTATTGGTAACCACATATACAATGATTAATGCCACGGTCACTTCCCACGAATCATCTCCAGCAACTGATCTATCGTTATCTTGCTCAGAACTTGGTTCAACAGACGAGTCACAAGTTCGCCTCCATAATCTGACACCTTTTCTGAGTAGTCTTGGACAATCTCCGGTACCAGTTCGCTGATGATCTGGCTCAGTATCTTTGACACTTCGTCGTCGTTGTACAATCCGCTAATGCTAAACTGTAACATTGAAAACGATGGTTAAATTGCACGCCGATTTCTTTTCGTCGCGAATCGTCGCGGTTCAACACTTACGTCGAATCCTCCCAAGCGAACGCCTAAATCCAGCTCCCTCACGAACAAGAAGCCCTCTTTGTTCGCGGACAAACCAATGTCAACCGATATTTGCAGGTTCTTAATCACAGCCCTAAAAGAACCATTAAAAAGAAAAGTCATTAATTTCCAATCGTGTCGGCATAAAAAAACTGTTCAATTATTAAAACGATCAACTCTTCAAAATAAAAGACAGGAGATTTTGATGAAATCAAATCAAATGAAAAAACTGGAATACAGCTCAGATGATATTTCAGTTTCTGTTTCCGGTGGGTTAAGTGGGTTGTAAAGTTCTGCAGCGGGAAATGATGCTACCCGATTCGGGTAATTCTGTTTTATCAACGCTAGGCAACGCGTGACTCACTGTAAATCGTATTCTCGTCGATACAGTAGTTTCCACGCCATCGGTACACTGTACGTAGGCAACGTAACATTGATAAAACAGGTAACGTCTCCGAAGAGTTTGAATTATTAGCGGGAAACAGAGTGGGATTTTTGTTTCGCGGTGAATTTAATTCCTTTCTCTCGAAGTTTAAATTAATACTTTAGTCGTCGACGTCGAGAACAGTAGTTCGTTGAATGTCTTTCTAGCTTGAGATAATTAAATTTCTTCGTTAACCGAGTGTGCATTAGTTTATTCGTAGTTAAAGAATTAAAGGAAAGCATAAACTTACGCAATAGATCCCTCTCCGTAAAATGACAATGCGTCGATGAGTTTTCCGTGGGTGACTTTGTACAGTGTCATGAGGTCGATTTCGTTCCACATCAGATCGACGCTCACTTTGAATCCGATCATTTTCAGTTCACCTTTGTTCACAGTGTAATCAGACAAGTGGTGCACTCGCAGATTGTCTAGCGTGGCTTCCAATCTGCCATTGAAAATTGATCATTATCTTATCCTGAATCCGTAAATGTTCGCCTGTTTTTTGGACAATGTTTCGTTCGTAATACGAACTAAGGGCTTAGGAAAAACTATTCTCTATTGTAATTTTGCTTTTGCAACTACGGTCTTAAAGACTTTGATTCGCATAAACATTCGTACTCTGCTGTATGCAACGAAAACGGACATTTTGTAGGCAAGTAAAAGTAGAATAAAATAATAGAAAAATGAATAAAGGGGATGCTCTTACTCGACTATCTTCTCTTTTAGATTCACGTCCAGGTGGTCCTGTTTCAGGGGATCCAGGACGGGGATGTTGAGCCTCGTATCGCCTTTCTTCAGCGTTTCCTTCATCGACTCAAGGAATTTCTTGAGATCGACGGTGAGAGCATAAGGCTCCGCCTCGTCCGCCGCTGAAAAGACGAAACGGTTCCCGTCGCGTTTCACTTCGAAGTTCATATCCAATTCGAAATCGAATTATCCCGCGACCGATCCGTATTCGTCGGAGGTTCAGAATAGAAATGCCACTCACCCAATGACTCGAGGTCGCCGGGCGCGAACGCGTGGCAAGAGACCAAGATCATGGCCAACACCGTCGCCGACAGATACATTTTTCCTGAAAAGTAAAACATTCTCGATCTTCAAATTTGTTCGTATTTCGCCTCGACTACCACAATCTCATATCGTTCCCTAATTCAACCGTTTGAGCGGTAAGCGGCATCTTGAATATTGCGATTTTCTTTCAAGCAATTCAGAAGCGTCGGACATCAGTGGCGGACACGGCATTTAACGTGTTAACTTTATTTATTCGCTTTCCTTCTAATTATTTATTTTCATTTTTCTTGTTACCCGTTTAGAAATGGAAAACCGGCGCGATCGTACTATTTACAATGTTTTCGCGTAAAAATAGAAAAGCGTCATTCGGTTTCTGAACTGAAACGAAAGGAACGCGATCGATCGCTTCGCTTGGGGCTTTTCGACTGGGTTTTCGCAAAAACCTGCGGAACTCAAACGGTTGAATAACCGATGGACTTCGATCTCAAACTACTTCACTTTAGTACAACACGGTTGATCGCATTGCAATTCCATTATAAATCTACCAATGACCACGGAGGATACTTAACTCGAAACAACAGACGAAACGCGCGTGAAAATTTGAATAAACACCGACGGATCTTGTGCGTTCCTAGCGAACACTCAGATACGGTAACTCAACGATTAACGAAGTCATTTCAGACTTCGTCGAATCCCAAAATGTTCTGCGGCTAACAAATGGAAACTTATTAAGCAGAAATCGATGTGCTTCGTCGACGAATTCGCCATGTCAGGGTTGTATTAAAAATGACATCGAATCGAGTTGCACCGCGTTTCGCGCGTTGTCGCGTGTCACGCGTATTCATAGAAGCCCGCAGTCCGTTAATAAACGAAACGAATCTCGCTTTGACGGCGTAAGCGTCTGCAGTCCAGTCACGGATCTGCGCGTTCCTCTCGCCAACTTTTACGTTCGGCCGCGAATAAAACGTTGACGACCGGGCTTTCGGATCATTGAATTTCGGGCGAGTCCGCAGCGGACGCGGCGGTACGCGCCGCTTAATGAGAGGCGTCCGGGCCTCGATACTTTCGGCGCGAATCACGTTTAAGCAGCGAGGATCGTTTCGCGCGCGTTGTTTAATTAAAAATCCTTGGCCGGCATTTTCCCGCTGCCGGTCGGCCGCCCCGCGGTTAATTGTGCGGAAACGGTCAGGCCGCGATTGTTTTTGACAGATTTCCGCCGCAGGGTTCCACCAACTTTCCGCGTGTTCAGCGCGCTGTAAATTCGTTCAACCGTGACCCGACGCTCGCCGGATTCGAGCCGCGATTCCTGCCGATTCGATTTCTCTCGGCCATTTTTGTTTCCTTCGAAATTCGTTGGCTCGCATTTACACTCTGCGCATCGGGAGCTTGGTAATTGGATATCGCGAATGCTGAACAATCGACAACTTACTAAAATCACGCCGATTTGAAGTAAGAGTAATTAGAGCGACGTAGTTCTTGTAGTTATAGAGGTGTACGAGTAGAAATACGCCGTCGAGTGACGAAAATTTGAATTTTTAAGAGGGGAATCAGGAAAATGGAATTAAAATGATAAACTAAAAATAAAAATTAGCTTCGAAGGTTCTCAGAAATGCGAAAAATGCGCAGCATAGGTATGTATATCAATTATGATAAGTTTGAAGTGTCATCTACATTGCTAATTGTAAGCAAAGTGAAGCTCTTTCTTCATACTTTTTCGTTGGATATAGGCGAAGTTTACTCTAGCGACAGTTACGAGCACAATTCAATAACTGCAATATCGTCGCTAACTTTTGCGAATTTTCGCGTGGAATTTAAACGTCTTAATTATAGCCGGCGGACGATTTTCCTAATCACTTCGCAAGATTCAGCTATAGAATCGCTTATAGCAACTAGTGAAGTTGGATTGCTAAGTTCCCGCCGTCTCTTAAATGCGACGTGTACGAGATAAAGACCATCTTCCTCTAATAGAAAATTGATTGCGCGGATAATATTCGTCCACAGAGATCTTCTGAAACGAAAATCTCCGGAAGAACGCGATTCCGTGGAAGTTCAAGTGTCACCTGCGCGAGAAAACGAAACTGCGCAAAAATACTCACGGTGTTCGAGTTCGACGGTGATCGCGCGCAAAATACTTTTTACACAGTGTACTGGCAAAGGCTCGTTACCGTCTCTTATATACGTGTCGGTATCGATCAGCTGAACTTTAGTATTCATAATCAGATGCACGTTATCGTAATCGCTGGATCGTTCGATCAACGATTTCAAACAATCCGATTACCCCGGGTGATATTATTATTTCGTATCTTTGTGCAGCAAACGTGAGATCTCAAGAATGCGCACGCTAAACGAATGGAAGATAATGAGATACGTTTGAAGAAATAATTGTCTTTTAATCTCGTGACGACAGCACCGCGAAAGTGTTTGTGGACACCTGCGACAGATAAATAACACTGCACATCGGTGAAAATAAATTAATAGAGTAACATCTTACATTCGTAGTCAGTTGAAATCGAACATTCGTCCGGCATTTATACTTCTTTTATTTTCTTTGGTGAATGACAAGTATCATAAATAACACCAATTTGCCGAAGAAAATTGATTTCGTTTTAAAATAATTTCCTGCTCCCTAAATATTTGACCTACTTATTTAATTAAGTGAACGTATAGTTGATGTATGTTGTAATTTGAGAAGAAACAAATTTTAATAGATTATTTAAACCACTCCGTGCGGTGCGATGAAATTTTCAAGGAAGATTACATTTTCTCTTTGTCTTCCTATCTTCCGACGATTCCCCATGAACCTCGCAACCCGTGCGAGGCGCGATTCATCCGCAAATGACGAAGAAGAGGCGAGAGCCACGCAACGAATCATTCCCATCGATAGATCATGACGCGAGCATAAAGCCAAGCCTGATATAAATGGAAGAGAGAGAGCTCGATGATGTTAAAAAAGTCAAATTTTCAATATTCTCGCGTCACAGGGGTATTATTTTTGCGCCTGGTGTCGAGACGGTGATCGAACCGTTCCGCGAGATACGAACGTCCCTTCGCGAGCGATTTACGAACAGGTTTTTCTACCGACTTCGAGATATTTCACTCATAGCTCACTCTAACCTAGTATTTCTCAACTTTCGCAATTAATGAAAGTAGAAGCAATTGTAGTTTATTCAATGACTTCTAGCACTAAGATGGTACCGATTCGATAAATTATTTTGTTCCTTTGGACCAACCAACCTACCTTTTTTTGGCAATTAGAATAGCATTTGTTATAAAAATATTTATTTTTATTAAACAAGTTGCTTAACTTATACTGTGAGGGTAAATATATTTTCCTGGAAGTTTTTATTCGGGTCCCCTTTCTTATAAATCAATATCCCCTTCAACTTCAGCGATTTTTCAACAGAATTATTTTAGTTCTTCAATTTTGCTCGCTAATATTGAAAATTTGCAGAAACCAAATAAGTTAAACAATTATACATTATTTATAATGTACTATTATGTATTATATATTAGATTATTTATATTACATCATGTAATATATGATATATAAATATATATATTTTTTTTATATATTTATTTGAAATAATGTACAGTTCATACGAATAAATTTCATTGTTACACATCGTTACATTACACTCTCATATTTCCTTGTAAAAAGTCGATATAAACCTGTCCTTAATTTTGGCCGCTCAGATCAGGCAAATACCCCACCTGTGCGTCGCACGGCACACACGAGTCCTCCCGACGCGTCACGTCGCTCCGATCTCTCCGGGGTTCCAATACCGTACATTTACGGCATCGCCGATCGATACCGCGCGAATTTCATGGCCACCTAAAATAACCTTTTCGAATTTATGGAAATCCACGGCGCCGCTCGCGTTTAGATAATTACACGGCAATGGCGAGTGTCGCTGCGGGCCGCCGGTCTGGCTATTGCCAGCGAGTTCCGGTGCAGGGTTTGTTAGAGACATCAGGTCGGAAAAATTTATGGAACTGGAAATTCGGGAGTTGAATGGCTTGGTAATTTTTTAAGTGGGCAAAGAATTTTTGCAAGTTGTTTACCCAATTTTCGTATATGTAGAATGTAGTATTCTGGGATACGTAGAATTACGTATTAGAATTTTAAATAGAAGTATCATTATATGCTGTATACGGAGAGTTTTTATTTCGTAATGAAGAGAATTTATTATTTTGCTATATTGAGATTGGAATATCCAATTTGTCGCTGCGTTTGTACATAAAGTAAAGGGATAAACGAATTTTAAATCGAATTAGGGAGTCTCGATGCCCGGTTAAAACGCGATACACGTGAAATCGACCCTCTGCTGTTGTAACTGATTAATAACGTTATTATTACAACGATTGATACTGGACTGTTTGTGCAACGCTGTAAAAGCGAGACTTTGAAATTATAAATCCTGTCCCAAATACAGCGGTACATCAATTTTTCTTCAATTTCTTTCTGTGTTTTCTCATTTCAATGCAGTTCTTTTGAAAGAGTATTAGTGAGACTGATAAAGAATATTGGTCAGTTATAGTGAAGATATCAGCGTCATCGAGAGAAATGATAAATACCGCACTTCGAGCTTTAGGTATCTCGACTGTTTACAATTGCGATATCTTGTGTGCTCACTCGAGATTTATTTGATATTTACTTTTTTTCCAAACAGTATACTCATGTCTGTTCTAATTCTTTGCTACCGTGTTCTGTATTTACTACAATATTACATGTCAGCGTAAAAAACACGTTTCGGGATCTGGTAATTAAACGTGGAAGCTTAAAGATGCAACGGATAATTAACACGATTTTCTACGTTAATTTTGCAAAAGTAATTTTGCTCGAAAATATCAAGGATTAGTGTACACGAAACAAAAGGCACGGGGCACAATAGAATTTAAAAGACAATTCGTAACGAGCGCAACACCGCTGAGCTACGAACGAAACGAAACGCTCCGCCTACCGAGTATTATTAATAATCATTTCGAACGTAGCAGTTTGCGTCCTTTAAAATACAACGAAATGTATGTCAGTGTGTAATGATATAATACGAAATAATTATAACAGAAAATATAACAAAGAAAAAGAAAGAGAAACGAAAGACACAGACATAGTATTCATTTGGAAGAATTCCATTATTTTTCAAACTTTCAAATTCCCAAACATCCATTTTTGCTACACGTTGAGATCCATCCACGCGCCAATGAATATTTTTATCATCGAAGAACAATGTAAAGCGAAATGTTACGATTCGAATTTTTTAAAAAACATAACGTCAGCGTTCAAAGCGCATAGATATTTGCCGAGCTCCGCAACGCGCACTTTTTTCATGTGAGCTAAAAATCACGTGAAAACGTTTCGCCGGGGAGCGTATTAACTTACTTCCCGGGGCCGAGCGTGTTTGCATTGAAACGCGCGGCGATATGTACGGGCATTTCAAACGATGAAAGATCGGAAAGATGATAGATCGGGAAAATTCCCCGCGATCGTTCCTCATCGTTCGCCGATTAGCGACAGATGCACGGAATATGCGTTTAAAAGGACAACTCGGTCGGGCGAGCAGTTCCCGGGAAAACCATGAAAAAACTTGTCAATCCAAAGCGATTTTTATTCTTTTCAACGACCGCCGAAGCATTAACAAGCAATGGTATCAAATGAACATCCAGTTCCAAGTTTTCGAGTGCTACAATCAACGAAAAGTATCCAACGTTTTCAAACAGAAAGATTCCAGGAACCAATACCACGCTTGACTTTTGCGATGCACAATTCCAAGAGAACAAACCCCAAAGAACAATTAATTTTCTATCCTTATTCGTTCAAGGATTAACACGCGCACCATACGTTCACGGCAATCCCAATTTTCCATTCTCAACAGAAAAAGTGTGATTAATCTCCCACAGGTTTCTGCTAAAATCACAACATAGAGGATACCCAAAACATCGATGACCCTCAAAAAGGATACATTGCATACAGTAAACCATCGCGTTCGCGGAAACCGTTATTGAAGCAAATAGTCGGCGGCCAACGTGTGAAACATCGGCGCGTTCCACGTGCCAGCCCATAAAAGCGAGTCGCAGTAACGAGGTTTATCCGAAAATTAACCTGAAAAGCAAGTTTTGAGACGAGCTTACAGAGATCCAGGCGAGAATCACAAGGTACACCTGGCTCATCGGTACACGAAAGAAAGGAGAGGAACATGCAGAAAGAGAAAGGAGCACTCTCATGGCACTCGGACGTGTGCCATCAAATTCCGATACTGGTCGCCCGTGGGAAAAGGAGAAAAAGGGGATGAACTGGCGGAGGGTCGGTGGCGGGGCGACGAACACATCGCCGCC